TCCGCTGGGGGGGGGGGGGGTGATATCTCGCTTTCTATCTCTCTTTCTCTCTCTGTCTTTCTGGCGAGTGCATGCACCCTTTGGCAAAAACCTCTCTCAAAAAAAAAAGCCTTGGGACCAGCAGTTAGCGTAATGGCTATGTCACTGGACTCCTACATAGTCAACTGCGGTTCAAGTCCCAGACCCAGCAGTTTAAACTCACGCTGGGCACGTGTACATGCTTGCCCAAGATCCCGAGAGGAGAATGGAGGAGAAGGGATTGCGGCGTGATCATCCTCCCTGGGGGGGATGATTTCTTGCTTTCAATCTCTCTAAAAAACAAATAAAATAAGAAAGGAAAAAAAAAAGCCTTAATCTCCCTTCAAGTCTAACTTTTGCTTCTTCTCATGGCCTTGGATGTTGTATTCCTCTGCCCTTCCTCTTTGTTCCCACACACCTGAAGGTGAACAGTTCTTTGCAGCTCTTATGTGGCATGGAATCTGCCACTTTTTCCATTGGTCTTCAACCTGATACCCAAACTCTGCCAGTGCTCAGTCTGACCTCCACATCATGTGGGACAGAAACCAGTGTCTTCAGCAGTCCCCAGGCAGGAGAGAACATTGCAAATAAGCTCCACTCACTATTCTTTCTTTAATCCTGAGGGAGGAAATGGGATTGGGTGGGTTCCTTCCAGCTCTACCATGTTGTGTGGAGCAGGACTAGGGCGAAGGTAAGGAAAAATACTACAAACTTTTTATTACTGTGAGTGTGGCTCTTTTTTTTTTTTTTCTTTCTTGTTTAGGCATTTGTTTGGATGGTGCAGATTTTTTTTTTTTAACCAATTTTTAGAGTGCCCACAAAGTTAATTTGGTTAGCATGTTTTTGTTTACTTGATGTGTATTTGGGGAAACGAGGGCTTGCAAGTTATGAAAACACTACCTTGCTGCCATCACGGCCTTTGTCATTCACTTTTTTTTTTTTAAATTTGTGTGTGTATGGTGTTTTTTAAGACAGAATGTTGCTGTAGTGTGACTTTCCTGCTTTAACCTCCCAAGTAGCAGGGGCTGCAGGCGTGTGCCACCATGTTTGGCTGCCCCAGACAGGATCTCACTGTTACTCATGCTGACAGCAAGCTCACGACCCTTCTGCCCCAGCCTCCTGAGTACCTGGGGTTACAGGTGCAAGCCACCAGGCCCAGCTTTCTTTTTCTCTTTAGGTTATTTTTTAATCAATTTATTTCACTTTATTTGTTGTTGTTATTTTTTAATTTGATCAGAGAGAGACAGAGTGAGAGAAAGGGAAAGGGAGAAAGCAAACCACCAGATCTGGGACTCAAACCATGGTTGGCCATGTGGGAGTTCAGCACCTTAACCACCATGCCACACATTGGCCACCTCTCTTTAGTTTATTTTTATTTATTTATTTATTTATTTACTATTTTAAAAATCTTCCCCAATAAAGTGTATGCACTTGGCAGAGAGGGAGAGAGAGGAAAAATGAGAAAGAACCCCGTAGGGGAAATGGCCACACCACAGTTCCTTCTCCTCCATTCTTCTCTTAGGATTTGGGCATGTATGCATGCCTGGCATGTTTTTCAAGCTTTTGGGTTCAGGACTTGAACTACACAGTCAGTGTTGTGGGGGATCCAGCCACCTTAACCATTGCACCACTGGCTGACCCCCCCTCCCCCCCATGCCTAGCTTTTTAGTGTGTCTGGGAACTGAACCTGGACTTCCTACATGGCCTTGGCCTGCTAAACAGCAGTGTCCAACATGTACTCCATGGTTGGAATTCTCTTCACTTTTGGAGCATACTTTCAGTGGTTATAGACTCCTGTATTGGTTGTTTTCTTTTAACATTCTAAATATTTTACTAATTTGCTTTCATGGTTTGTAAAGAAGTATGTTGTAATTTTTTCTTTTAAAGATTTTTACCACAGGGCACGTGCGCTTGCCAGAGAGACAGAAAAAAAGAGAGAAACCACCCACTTGTGGGATGGCTGCACTGCAATTCCTTCTCCTCTTTTGTCCTCTCGAGATTTTGGGCACTTACGTACACATGCCTAAGGTGTGATTTTCAAGCCTTTAGGTTTGGGAGTCCAATTGTAGTTAGCCATGTGGGGGACCAGCACCGTAACCACCATGCCACTTACTGGCCTCTGTAATTCTTACATACTGTATTTCTGTAGGTAGTTTTTCCCCTGCTGCCTTCTTTTTGAAAGATTTTCTTGCGATTTTCTGCAGTTTGATTATGACATGATTAGGTATAGATTTTTTGGTATTTATCCTGCTTTGTATTCTCTGAGCTTCCTAAATCTACCATTAATTTTGGACAATTTTTAGCATTTTATACTCTCACTGTCTTTTTGTTCTTCCTCTTTTTCTTTTACCTTATATTGGCAATACTCATATGTTACATGTATGTATGTATGCACATATGTATGTATTTAAGAGAGATTTTTGCTATAGGGCGCATCCACTCACTGGAGAGACAGACTCAGAGAGACAAAGCAAGAAATCATCCCGCGGTGGATGGCCATCCCGCAATCCATTCTCCTCCATTTTCCTCTTGGGATTTTTTTGAGGCATGCATGCACACATGCCTGGCATGATTCTTAAGCTGCCAGGTCTGGGACTCGAACCATGGTTGACTTGGTGGGAATTCAGCGATGTAACCATTATGCCATCTGCCAGTCCCTGTTACAGCTTTTATAATAGTTCTACAGTTTGGGCATATTGTGTTATTTTTCTCTTGCATTTGGATTTGGGAAGTATGTATTTGCATATCTTCAAGTTCACTGTGTATTTATTTTTTCATTCTTTAACTTACTAGAGGACGTGTATGCTCACCAGAGAGAGACGGGGTGCAGGTTAGGGAGTGCTGAAAGTGAGAGTACCTCTCATGAGGGATGGTCATGCTGCAGTCCCTTCACCTCCATTCTCCTTTCAGGATTTTGGGAATGTACACATATGTGCCTAACATGTTTTCCAAATCTCCAGGTCTGGGACTGGAACCACGTCACCACGCAGTTGGCCGTGTGGTATGCAGCTACCTTAATCACCATGCTACCAAATGGCCTGATTTTGTATTTTTACAGTATCTTTTACAACCGCTCATTGCATCTACTGGGTTGTCAGGAAAGTCATAATGCGTTCTTGCATAGAAAAACAGAAAAATAGGATGACCTAATATACTTGAATATGATACACTTTTTTTGTGTATCTGTTTTGTATCATGCTACTCTCCTAGATTTGCACTGTTTGTATATAATTCTGATTTAAATATCTTACACATTAACATTTAGCTACAACTGCAGAGGTCAAAACTTATAGTAAGTGAAGTTTTGATCAAATATACCATTTTTTGATGTAAAGATTATGTTAAAGAATGAAGGTAAGCTAATAGGATCATGGGTAGATTCTGTTTTCTTTTATGTACTTTATTTCTTACTTTTCTGTAGTATGACATTTCAGATGAAACATTGTTTTTAAAATGAAATATGTTGAGATGTTTAAAATTTATTTAAAAATATTTTTTAGGAGCTGTGGCCCTCAAGAACCTTGAAATTAAAGAAAATGCCCTGGTATGTTTTGAGTGTGAAAAATTCATAGTATTAATGCATTTAGCTATGTATACCTCATTCTAATTCAGTTTGCCATCTTAGAATATTTTTAAAAATTATTTTATTAAACTTTATTATTATTATCATTATTATTTTCCAGTTTGATCAGAGAGAGACAGAGAGAGAGAGAGGAAGTGAGAAAGCCAGCCACCAGGTCCGAGACTTGAACCGTGGTTGGCCATGTGGGAGTCCAGCACCTTTAATCACCATGCCACTTGCCGGCCCCCATCTTAGAATATTTGACAAAATTTTTTGGAAGTAATTTTTGCCTAATGCAAATTTTGTAAAGTAGACTTTTAAGTCCTTATAAGTCCAAATTGACATAGTAACTTTTCCATTTCAAAATACTTCTATTCTTATTCCCATATGGTTTTACTTTGAGTGTGTACCTTGTCTTTTTGTCATTCTCAGGATTTTTTTTTATAGTTGTGTGTTTCTTTTGTTTGTTTGTTTGTTTTTAGTTTATGCTATAATGCAATGTGCACTCAGCAGAAGAGAAAGGGAGAAGGTGGGAAATCATCTCCCAGGAGAGATGACCGTGCTGCATTCTCTTCGTTTCCAGTTTCCTGTTTGGATGTTGGGCACACACACACACATGCTCCATGCATGATTTTCAAGCCATTCCCATATGGTTTTACTTTGAGTGTGTACCTTGTCTTTTTGTCATTCTCAGGATTTTTTTTTTATAGTTGTGTGTTTCTTTTGTTTGTTTGTTTGTTTTTAGTTTATGCTATAATGCAATGTGCACTCAGCAGAAGAGAAAGGGAGAAGGTGGGAAATCATCTCCCAGGAGAGATGACCGTGCTGCATTCTCTTCGTTTCCAGTTTCCTGTTTGGATGTTGGGCACACACACACACATGCTCCATGCATGATTTTCAAGCCACTGGGTCTGGCACTCGATTGTGCAGTTGGCCGTGTGGAATACAGTACCTTAACCTCCATGCCGCCTGCCAGCCTTGTCTTCAAGGTTTTTTTAAGGCAACATTTTAACCATTTTTAAAAGGTACAATTAGTGGCATTAATTCCATTCACGCTGTTGTGCAATAGTTGCCAATATCACTTCCAAAAACTTTTTGTATACCCAGAGAAACTCCAGCCGTTAAGCAGTAACTCCCCATAGAGCTGTGCATCCTCTAATGTACTTAAGTTCTCTGTGAATTTGCCTATTCTAGGTACCTTATATATGTAGAATCATGCCAAATTTGTCCTTTTTATATCTGGCTTACTTCACTTTGCATGTCTTCATACTGCAGTATGTCTGTAGAGATTTCAAAAGTTTGTGGAAAAGCGGAATTAAAGTATGAATTTATTTTGGTGCAAAAATTCACACATAGTTTTTTTTTTTTTAAAGAATTATTATATTTAACTTTATGTATTTATTTATTTATTTTTAATTTGACCAGAGAGGGACAGAGAGAGAGAAAGTGAGAAAAAGCAAGCTTCCACGTCCAGGACTAGAACCATGGTCAGCCATATGGGAGTTTGGTGCCCTTAACCACCATGCCACCTGCCAGTCCCACACATGTAGTTTTTTTATAATGCACATTTTACTTGGACTTTTGGAAGATCCCACAAAAAAGGGGGATCTTTTATTTAACTGTATCATTATTATTTTTTAATTTGATCAGAGAGACACAGAGAGAGGAAAACAAGAAAGCAAGCCACCAGGTCCAGAATTTGAATTATGGTCAACCATGTGGGAGTCCAGTGCCTTAACTACCACACCACCTGATGGCCCTGGCCATGTTCCTTTTTATGACTGAATAATATTCCATTCTTTGTTTGCACATTTTCTTTTTTTTTATTTATTTGATGAATACTCAGTTTGTTTCTGCCTTTTAACTCTTGTGACTAGTGTTGCAGTTAACATTGTGTACATGCGTCTGTTCCAGTCCCTGCTTTCAGTTTTTTTGGGATATATACCTAGCAGTGGAATTGCTTGAGCATATGAAAATCCTTTATTTAGATTTTGCAGGAACTGCCAAAGTTTTTTTCCATTGCAGTTTTACCATTTTACATTCCTTTCTTGATACATGATGGTTCCATTTTCTCCACATTTTCTCCTCAACATTTTTTAAAATTTTCATAATAGCCATCCTAGTTTTTATTAGCATTTTCCTAATGACTAGTGATGTTGAGCATCTTTTCATGTGCTTATTTTATTTGCATGTTTTTTGAAGACATGTCTATTAAAATTTGCTTTATTTTTCATTTGGTATTTTTATTGTTGAATTGTGGGAGTTCTTTATATAGTCTGCATAGTGATCCCGTATAAGATAGATGGTTTGCACATAACAGCCCCTCAGTTCTGCAGATTGCCTTATCACTCGGGTATTAGTGTCCTTTGGTGCACAAAAGTTTATAATTTGATAAAGGCCAATTTATTTTTTTCTTATTGACTGTACTTTTGTTAAAATCATGAAGTCATTATCAAATCTAATGTCATGGAGATTTTTCCCTTATGTTTTTATCTAAGGGTTTTATAGTTTTATCATTAATGTTTAGGTCTTTGATCTCTTTGAATTAATTTTAAAAAAGGGTTCAATGTCACATTTTTGCAAGTGGCTCTCCAGTTTTTTCACCCTCATTTATTGAAGAAACTTTCTTTTTTCATTGATGGGGAGAAAGTTTCATTGACAATATTTTTTATAAAATATAAATTTTGCAAAATGAAGTTTTAATCTCCATAAAAGCACAAACTGAAAGTGAAAGTTCCCACTTTATTTTGTTTTCAAGGTTTGCTTTAGGGTGTGTGTGCTTGCTGGAGAGAAACAGAGGACAGAAACTGAGAGGGAAAGTGAGAAATAACCTCCCAGGGGAACAACCCCTTCTGCATTCTTCTCTTTGCAAGCACACGCACCCAGCATGATTTTTGAGCTTTGGGTCTGGGATTCAAATTGTGGAATTTGCCATATGGGCCCCAGTGCCTTAATCTCCACATAATCTACTGGCCTAAAATGTTCCACTTAAAAAGAAATTATATGAAAGCAGAAATAATCTTGTCTGAGTAGTTTTTGTGATCAATATTACTACATACCTTACTTCGACTTAGCTATAGAATTTTATGGTCTGAGAATTATATTGCACTTATATACTTATAAACAAATAAGTGTTGAAGGCAAAGAAAACATGTAAGTTCATTTGAAAACTCTTCAAGTAACTTGGGAAGAAAAAAATAGGTATCCTAACTCTGTCTCTATATATTATTTTTCCTTTGTAGAGTCAACTGGATGTACCATTTAAAGATAAAGTTGGTCATATAGGTAAGCTATTCTTCTTACTAAAATGTCTTCCTTGTTGTACATGCAACCAGAATAATATGCCTAGTATGTCTAATAATGTGACCTGTTTATTTTTTATTTTTTCAAGAACTATTCATTTCATTTTTATTTATTTTTATTATTTAATTTGACCAGAGAAAGAGAGAGAGAAAGAGGGGCGGAGGAGTGAGACAGCAAGCATCCAGGTCTGGGACTCGAACTGTGGTTGGCCATGTGAAAGTCCAGCACCTTTACCACACCACCTGCTGGCCCCATTGTGATCTTTCTAATGCTTTTGAACATAACCGAAAATAATCATGTGTTTTTATCTAGGTAGAACTTAGTTGTGCTACTTAATAATATTGTGGAGTTCATATATCTTTTGGCCTGTACGTGCTACCTAAAAAATTATGCTTCTTGAGGGACCAGCATATGGTGTAATGGTTACATTGCTGGACTCTCACATAGTTGACAGCAGTTTGAGTCCTGGACCCAGTGGCTTGAAACTCACACCAGGCATGTATGCGTGCATGCCCAAAACCCTGAAAGGAGAATGAAGGAGAAGGGGATTACGGCCTGGCCATCCCCTGAGGGGGTGATGTCTTACTTTTTGTCTCTCTGATGTGCACACATGCCTTTTAAGCAAAAATCTCTCTTAAAAAAATTACTTTTTTGATGTTAAAATTGAGTTAGTTTGGGCTGTCTGGTGGTGGTGTGGTTGAGGTGGCTGGATCCCACATGGCCTACTGAACATTTCATGTCCTTGGACCCAGTGACTCGAAGCATATGCCAGGTGTGTGTGCATGCTCTCTGGCCAAGAAAAAAAAAAGTTAATTGAAAGTGAAGGCATTACATCCAGCAGAGACCTTAACTGTTTCAGTTTCCTGGGATTCTGAGTAATGACCCATTGGTATATTCCTCTCCCCTGCCTTTTAAAGATTACTGGAATGGGGACTGGCAGGTGAAATGGTGGTTAAGGGCCTTGGACTCCCACACATTCGACCATGGTTCAAGTCCTGGATGTGGTGACCCGCTTTCTCACTTTCTCTCTCTCTCTCTCTCTTTCTCTCTCTGTCCCTGTCTGATTGAATTAAAAGAAAGAAAGAGAGAGAGAGAGAGAGAGAGAAGGAAAAAGTAAGTTAAATAATTCTTAAAAAATAAAGAAAAGAAACAAAATAAAATTACCGGAAGGTTCTTGAACTCGCCAGAGATAGATAGAAGAAGAGAGAAAAAGTACTTCCCAATGGGGTGTGCCCCATGCCACAGTCTCTTCTCCATTTCTCCATCTTTTTGAGATTCAGGGCACCAATGTACATGTGCTCAGCATTTTTCCATCTGATATTTTTATTTTTGCATTTTTTTTATCATTTACATGTTTACATTTTTATTATTTTCAATTATTACACATCTTTAAAACATACAAAATGAATTTTACCACCTTGAATACATTGCATATCGGTCCAGTGAAAGATATTATTGTACATATTATTATCAACAGACAATTTTCCATTTTTGTGTCTGTTAAATGTTCTCTCCTTTTTCTGCCTTGATTCCCTCCTGCCTCCACCTTGCCCACCCTTCTCCTGCACTGTCTTTAGTTTGCTATTATTATTTTTTTTAATTTCAAGAAAAGCAGTTTTAGCTTTAATGAATTAGAATCAAAAGGGGTTAAGAAAAATTGGCTTTAGACTAAAAGCCAGGGAACAGGTTAGGATTCTGTCTAAACAGTAGGTAGAGACTAACAATTGAAAAAACAAATACGGGCAGAGGTAAAATCTAGTAACAATTGCTCTATAGTTTTCTTATAACACATTTTTTTCTCTCTCCATCACCTCTTTTACCAAAGAGAAGCATACACTAACTTATTTGCCAAAAACACATTTAGTTTCAATCTGGTCTATTATTTGCACAAAGCCCAATAAGAATACTAATTGATTTAGTTGGCATTGCTAGACTCTTTTATAAGAAACTTCAGATTAGACTCTTTAAAAAGCCTCCCAAGGCTCCTGAGCCAAGTCAGGAACTCACTATCTGTCTGTGCCTTTAAGTACTTGTACTTGGAAGTTTTGGGGCCTGTCAGAAAATGACAGTCTTTACTTACCTGTCAAGTAGAACTGTTTATGGTACCAGGCTATCTTTCCAAGAGCTTCAGTTGGCTTTCTTGAGATCAGCAATAGTTCCTTAGGTTTCTGCTGGTATCTTCAGATATGACATTCAAGTCAAAGCCCTGGCAGTAACCAGTGTTTGCAATTTCTGATGTATAGCAACAGGTATTATTGAACTCAGGTAAATAACTATACTGCCACAACATGAGAAAACTCATAAATACTTCTCAATTTCAGAGGGGTCAGGAAGGGAGAAAAGTTTATGTTTCAATTCCATTTTCAAATAAAAATAAAGTTTTGAACTAGCAGTTAGCGTAATGGCTATGTCGCTGTACTCCCATGTAGCCTGACCATGGTTCAAGGCCGGGACCTGGTGGCTTAAACTCACGCCGGGCGCGTGTGCGTGCATGCCCAAGATCCCTAGAGGAGAATGGAGTAGAAGGGATTGCAGTGGGCCATCCCCCCTGGGGGGGTGGTGATTTCTTGCTTTCTGTCTCTCTGTCTCTCTTTCTGGCAAGCACACGCACCCTATAGCAAAAACCTCTCCAAAAAAAAAAGAAAAAGAAAAAAAAATTGACAAATTGCTGGAACTATCAACAGCTTAAAAGGTAACAAAAGCCCTTACATCTGGAAAACAAAGCATAGAAAAAGATCAGTAATGCTTTGGTCAAAAGTCATGAAATTCTATTTCAACAGTTCAGTCTCATGTAATTAGTCTCTCTTCTATTGAGTTTGTAGTGTTACTGTGGTTTGATCTTTCCATTTAAATCCTAGAAATTCATGAATATGATCTCAAAGTTATCAAAGATCTATATTCAAGAGTGCTTATCAGAGTCTTCTTCATTAATTTCCTTAAAAGAGGCAATTTTGGATTATAGCCTCTTACAAAATGTTTTAGAAAGAGCATCAGAATAAAGCAATTAACTATGGACAATGAAACTTAAAATGCCATGGTTCAAGGTGTTTAAATTTTTAAGTACTTGTAATCATGCTATATTTGCAGTTTTTTTAAGTGAACATGTATTAAGGATTTCTCATGATCCAAATCTATTTGACCTAATTTATTTCTTATAGTACTATATAACTCAATGAATGCACATTGGATATTGTAGGATAATTCCATTTTTCTATTGGTAAAAAAATATCACAGTAAATATCTTTTATGTATGGTTAAACAAATTTGTCAGGGCCAGCTCGGTGGCTGATGGTCAAGTCAGTTGTGTCCCATACGGCTCACTGAGTGGTTCAAGTCCCACACCTGGAGACTTGAGAAACATGATGGGGCAGTATTAATGCATGCCCAGAATCTTAAGAGGAGAATGGAGGAGAAGGGATTGTGGCATGGACATCTTCCTTGGGGGTGCATTCTCACTCATACTCCATTCCCTCTGTATCTCTCCAGTGAGCGTGTGTGTCCTATGACAAATTAAAAAAGAGAAAGAAAAAGCTTTAAAAAATTGCCAAGAATCATTGAATGTTACAGTGATGATTATTGTATTTCAATGTATGTAAACTTACCCTCATTTAAAAGTGAAAAAGTATATATTAGGCCTATCTAGACCTATCTATGTCTTTTAGAGCCTGCCATTTTGCTTTCTTCTTTTTTCTTGCCTGATCTCATTTTAAAAATGATAAGGTAATTTTCATTGGTAATATATAATAGTGAAAAGTACACTGAATTAAACATAATATTATTTTGGGAATCATTTAAGGTGGTTGCATACTTCTGTCATAACACCTGTAAATTCATAATGGCAGTAATACGGTAATACTATTATTAATTACTTTATTCTGAAGATTTATTTCCCTTTAGTTATTATTTTAATTTGATATATGGCATATCTGCTCACTACAGAGAAGGGGAGAGAGAGAAAGCAAGCTGTCAGGTCCAGGACTTGAACTGTGCTCAGCCATGTGGGAGTCTAGAGCCTTAACCACTGAGCCACCTACTGGCCCCTTATTGTTTATTTTTACTTTCTACTGGATGCTAAGTTTCTTTTTTTTTTTTTTTTGGAGAGGTTTTTTATTTTTGTGGCCATAGGGCACGTGAGCTCGCCAGACAGACAGAGAGAGACATAGAGACAGAAAGCGAGAAATCACCCCAGGGGGGATGGTCACACCACAATCCCTTCTCCTCCATTCTCCTCTCGGGATCTTAGGCACACATGCACATGCGCCTGCCGTGAGTTTTAAGCCACCGGGTCCAGGATGTGAACCGCGGTCGACTACGTGGGAATCCAGCGACATAGCCATTACGCTAACTGCTGGTTCCCTGGTTCTTAAGTGCATTTAATTTTTATTATATCCTCACCACTTAATACATTACCTCACATTGTAGGGGCAAATTGTGTTGAATGAAAGAAGAACATGTTTCGGGGCCAGCAAGTGGTGTAGCGGCCAAGACACTGGACTCCTACTTGGCCACCCATAGTCTGAGTGCCAGACCCAGTGGCTTGAAAATCATGCCGGATGCATGTACTGCATGCCCAGAATCCTGAGAGGAAAACAGAGGAGAAGGGATTGTGGTGTAGCCATCTCCCAGGGCAGCGATATCTTACTTTCCCTCTTTCTGTCTCTCTCCTGTGAGCTCACACACCCTAAGGCAAAAAAGAAAAAAAAAATATAAAAGGGAAAAAAATGAAAGAAGAATACATTTCCAAATGAGTTGTATAGCAGTAGTACAGTTAGTTTTGTAGGGCTGCATTGTCCCCTTGCTGTTATTGGGTATTGTTAGTCTCACTGATCTTTCAAAGTTTTCTGTATTTAGAATTACAGGTATACCAAATATAAATACACATATATGTACAAGTTGACTTAAAAAAGTTCTCCGAGAGACAAAATATGAGTTTATTTTGGTACAAAAAGTTTTGAAATTCATGCAGTTTTTTTCATAATATGCATTTTCCTTGTACTTATTAAAGGTTGTCTTGTGCAGAAGTTTTTTGGAATTGCTTTTTTTTTAAGAATTATTTTGGAACCAGCAGTCAGCGTAACAGCAATGTTGCTGAACTCCCATGTAGTCGACTGAGGTTCGAGTTCTGGACCCAGCGGCTTAAACTCACACTGGGCACATGTGTGTGCGTGTCCAAGATCCCAAGAGGAGAATGGAGG